GGCACTATGCCTTTTCGCACTCTATCCACTTTGGGTAACTGCATTGACTTGCAGAGCTTCAATTAGCATCCATATACTGGTTACCTTCATATTTTTCTTTGGACCTGCTCATCTAACTTTCTAATAAACAACTTATTGGCTATTTCATAAGCCATCCAATGCATCATGTTCAGAAGTGAACTCATGTCCTTATTTCCTATTTATCTCTCTATCCCAGCTTTTCCCCTATGTTCAGTGTCTACTCATGTAGCCCAAATCATTTATCCAAGGATCTTTTTGACTCTTCTGTCCCATCCAATCAATGACCAAGCCCTGTCAATCTGCCTTCTCAGATATCACTTTGATATCCATTTATCCCCATCTCCACTGTCACCCTAAGTCATTCTTATCTCTGACACATTTTGCTGAAACAGCATCCAAGTCAGTCTCCTTGCCACTAATCTTGCTCCTATCCAGTGCATTTACCCTCCATATAGCCATTGGAGTAATCCTTTTTGAAGTGATCCTGATAAAATGCAAATCTGATGATGAAACTCCATTAAAACCCAATCAATAATTTTTCATTATCCTAAAACAGTGGTCGGCAAACTGCGGCCCCTTGAGTGTGGCTCTTCCACAAAATACCACGTGCGGGCGCGCACGTACAGTGCGATTGAAACTTCGTGGCCACACTCAAGGGGCCAAAGAGCCGCATGTGGCTCGCGGACCGCAGTTTGCCGACCACTGTCCTAAAACAAGCCTAAACACCTTAACTTAAAAGACTCTGTCTATCCTGTGCCTACTTCCCAACTGCTGAAGTGTTAGTATCCCTTCCAGTCACCCTGAGCATCTTTTAGTCCCTAGAACCTGACATACTTTCAGCTGAAATATGCTGTTCTCACTGTCTATCCCCAACTCAAATGTCACTTTTTGAGAGATATCTTTTGTTACCCTAAACTAGATCAAGGTCCCAGCTATGCTTGTAAATCACCTTAACTTCTACTCTATCACTCATCACATACTATGGTGTGCAGCGTCTCCTCACTTTACTCTAAGCTCCATGAGAGCAGGGACAATGTTTGTCATATTAACTACTACTAAGCACCTGGTATTTGGTAGGTATTTAATAATTACTGATTGAACAAATAAGTGTATTTACTTATGTATTTTTCCTTTTACCAGTACAACAAACCATGTGATCTGCTATATAATTATTGGCGACTGACTCATTCACCATAGAGCCATCGCAGATAGAAATTAATATTCAAGATATCTCATAATTAAGACATCTCACAGATTTATAGGCATCCCTTGCTCCAAATTGTGCCTAGTTAACAGGATAGTAACAAGGTCAACTAAGCTTGGCAAGGTTCAGAGACATACTGGCCTTTGACTAATCAAAAAATCGTGGGTAGAATAAATAAATTAAGTTGTTTAATGGTTATTTACTACCTCTATCTATTCTGCTTGATCTTTTCATCTAGTTTGGAGAAAAGTAGGGTTATTCAAGATGCTACTTAGCTGGAGGAACATTTTACCCAGCCCCTGTATCTAATTCTAAGGATAGTTATTACCCATGACACTCTTAGACCCTGATCATGTTACCAGTAATGTCCCTTTGTGAATTTTATCAAATTTATTTGAGAACATAAGAAAAATCATGGAGTTATACAGGCATTACAATGACATCTAAGTTAGAAGTTTTTCAGGCCAGGGCTTCAGTGGCACAATCCGTTGGCGCGCAGTACTTATAAGAAGTTTTTTTTTTAATGTTTTTATTGATTTTTAGAGAGGAAGGAAGAAAGAGATATAGAAACATCAATGAGAGAGAAATATCAACTGGCTGCCTCCTGCACACCCCCTACTGGGGATTGAGCCACAACCAGGGCATGTGCTCTAACCAGGAATTGAACCAGCAACTTCTTGGTGCGTGGGTCAATGCTCAACCACTGAGTCACACTGGCCAGGCAAGTTTTTTGTCTGTTTTCTAAAACATATTTTAACTCTCTCTAACCCTTGGATAGGTTTCCTCCTGATGTTAGATGTAACATCAGATGTAACTTCTGGAGATAGTTATAACTGACAGAAGATGCAATGTTAATGATTCATTGTGGAAAGTGGCTCAACTGTGTCAAAGTTGGGTCATAAAACATGATTTAAACCACAGGCACACACCTGCAATGGTCTCACCTCATGACCAGCACTCAGTCCATGGATAATGTTCTGTCCTGATGCTGCCCATCAGAACATGACCATCTCCAAATGGTGACTGTCTCCCAAGAATATTACATCAAACAGGAATTTCTCATTGCCTTATTTATGGTTAAGCCCTAATATAGGGCTACATTATTAAGCCAAAAAATAATTATTGCCTTAACAGTTTTGTTGCTCTACATTGCTTAGGGTGATAAAATAGCGATTAGGAGTTAAAACATTTTCAGTGTTCTCTTTAATTTTTCACTCCAGCTACTAATGCTTCATTTCCACATTTAACATTATAAAGTAAGGTGCTGCATAAAGCTCAAAATTATGGGATGAATTCGATCATCCCTGGATAAACATAAAGTCTCAGCAAGAGAAACCATATTCAATTTACTACAGAATCTCCTCAGAATCTAAGTTGTCTTTACGAAAAGCTAGGATATTATGCCCCAGCTGGGTGGCTCAGTTGGTTGGAACATCGCTCTGTACATCAAAAACGTTTCAGGTTCAATTCCTGGTCAGAGTACATACCTGGGTTGCAGGTTCAAACCCCCGTTGGGGTGTGTATGAGAGGCAACTGATCCACCAATGGATGAATGGATGTTTCTCTCTCTCTCTCTCTCTCTCTCTCTCTCTCTCTCTCTCTCTCTCATTAATTAACATCCTTGGGTGAGGATTTTTTTTAAAAGCTAGGAAAGTATGAAAATGCAGCAACTCTGCCACATTGCTGGAAAGCCATAGAGTGACTTTCTATCGAAGTACCCTGTCCAAAGATAGTAATAAAAACATAGGCTTTGGCCCTGGCTGGTTTGGCTCAGTGGACAGAATATCAGCCTGCGGACTAAGGGTCTGGATTCGATTCTGGTCAAGGGCATATGCCCAGGTTGTGGGCTTGATCCCGAGTAGGGGGCATGCAGGAGGCAGCCAATCAATGATTCTCTCTCATCATTGATGTTTCTCTCTCTCCCTCTCCTTTCCTCTCTGAAAGCAATAAAAATATATTTTTTTAAAAAGTGGGCTTTGTAGGAGCAGGATCCAAGATGGCGGCATAGGTTAACACCGGAGATTGCTGCCTCGAACAACCAATTCAAATTACACCTAAAAGACGGAACGGACATCATCTAGAACCACAGGAAGGCTGGCTGAGTGGAAATTCTACAACTAGGTGGAAATAGAATATCATCCCCAGACTC